ACTTTTTATTTAAAATACCTTGCAAGGCATTTGAAAACCAGCTTTACACTGTCTTCGAGAAACTCAGTTGTCACCATCTGTTCAGTACCCTAGCAACAATTACGTAAGCAGCTTCAAGTATTTATTCATGCTTTGAAAAGAACAAAATATTCTCAAGAGGAAGTAACTGGAGTGGATCAGACGGCAAAAATAACTCAACACCTGTCGAAGAATTGGAATTCTTATCCAGAAAGTCTCCTTGAGCACTGATATTACAGTGATTTTTGGCAAGAGGAACTACTTTATCCCTGACAGGTTAGCTTCTAGCAAAAAGTGCCTGCGTATGTCAGCACTTTCTTAGCCAGTGGAAAAATCGAGAAAATGCCAAACTTTTGTCATAAACTAAGCCCAGACTCAACGGACTCAGTATTTGGAAGAATCATAAAAGTAGATTTCGGAAACCTCCGCCATGCTTCGAAAGTTCTTGGTAACGATCGTTGTCCTTATTTTTTTACGAGCGAGGTATAACCACCAGTAATCTCCACAAAGACCAATGGAGGAATGTTAAAAGTAACCACGCTGATACTGACTAGGAGATAATACAAAAATATGAACAAGCTAGGTCCATTCATAACGGCAGTATTGTCCAATTTTCAGTCATCTGCGAACCTGAGTGCCAAACACCTTTCCGCTTCCTCGTAAACTGTAACAGAAAAAAAAAGATTGATGTAGAAAAACCTTACATCACATGACGTTAAAGTTAAAACAATGATCCTCGCATGTGAGCCGCAATTTAAACAATTCAAGAAAAGAAGCCTGAAAAGAAGTCCTTTTTACAGTTGTGCGCTTGGTGGCCAAGCCTTTGAACAGGAGTGAGGCTAAGGGTGACCCTGTTGTGATAGAGACCTGTATCTAGTCAGCATGATAACAAAGAAATTTGCATTTGAAAAGCAGCAACAGCTCTATCATAACATGGCCTTAACCTCACTCCTGTTCAAAGGCTTGGCCACCAAGCCCACAACTGTAAAAAAGGACTATTCAGATTTTGATGGAATTTCAAACCCGTGCTTCTCAGATACTTGGACAGTAAGACTATGATATTAACGACTGAGCTACTAAGCTGACACGTTGGGAGCTGGGCGTCCTTTAGAGGGTTCTTCTTTCCCCTGGAGGAATCTGATCATAATTTTTACTGACATAAAATTCATTTCACCAGCGGATGAAAACCAAGTAAAGCAATAATCGAGTGGACTAAGTACGAAGTTGAAATGTCGAGCGAACCTTCCATAGACCAAACATGCAAGAGTTGTAGTAGTGTACTTATCTTTGAGTCCCCAAATTACCCACTTTCCGATGTAGAAAAAGTTTAACGCTTGAATATCAAGGAGAGGTAAAATAAGATAAAGCAACCCTTTAGTTTTGGATGTGGTGGGAGCCTTCTGTTGATATTGTTGACTGTGGTAACTTGCTGGCATTCCTGACACGCCGCCATTATCCATGTCTGACTGCGAAGACGCCTTTATTGCCTTTCTCAGATTTTCAACCTGGAGA